AATAACAATGTTAAAAGTAGGGAAGGATATAAACAAAAGTATAAAAAGGAAAATGCATAGAGCAATGACTGGGAGAGGTCCCTGGATCCTCAGTGTCTCAAAGGGACTTGCTTTGCTTCCTGGGAACCGATGGGCACTCTCATCAACCAGCAAACCTTTCGACCAGGAACTGTTCTGTGATATCTCTTGGTTGGCTCTGCTGTCAGTCACTCCTCTCAGATGGCTACCAGCTCCCTTACCTGGGATTTTGCTTTTACACTCTGATCCCAGTTTTGGAGGTTCTCAGTACAGGGCTGTGTCTAGAGGACATGTTTCCCTCCTAGCTTTCCTTGATTAAGAGGTCCCATCTGAGTCCCTACAATTTAGGGTTTTTATTAGTCACTAATAAAAGTCCAGTATGGGTAAAGATCAGTTACCAGGGAGGTCCCTCCAGCTAATCCATGTAAAAAGTCAACTACTGGGTGTGGCTACCTAGTCAAGGTAAAGGTCAGACCAGGGTTGTGTGTGGTGGTGATGGTGGGGGGAGGAAGGGGCAGCCAGTCAGTCTGTTAAAGGTAAGTTTCTTCCATCAGTAAATAGAAACAAAAAATCACTTTTGAATAATACCAGAGGAACTTCATTGATACCATGTTCAGATGACATATGGATAGCATTAATACAGAAAAATTTCATATAAAGAATTTTCTTGCAAGTTAATGTACCTACTGATATTAATAACTGTGCCATTAATTAGTTGGGAGTTCTGGTGGCACAGTGCCTAAGGCATTTGACTGCTAACCAGAAGGCTGGCGGTTCAAACCCACCAATCACTTCTTGGAAGGAAGATTGAGCAATCTGCTTCCATAGAGATATTGCCTCAGAAACCCAAGGAGGGGTTACTACGAGTCAGAAATGACTCAACTATTAACTAATTTAGTTGTTGGAAAATATGGTCTTGGTGATAGAAATGATGCCAGAGGTTGCATGATAGAATTTTGTAATACCAATGACTTCTTCATTGCAAATACCTTTTTTTTTTTTTTTTAACAATGTGAATAGCAGCTACACATATGGACCTTACCATATGGTCAACTGTATCTGTGGAAAGAGGTGATGGAGAGGCTCAATGTCTTCAGCCAAAACAAGCCCAGGAGCTGACTGTGGAACAGACCATCAATTGCTCATATGCAAGTGCAAGTTGAAGCTGAAGAAAATTAAAACAAGTCCATGAGAGACAAAATAAGACTTTGATTACATCCCACCTGAATTTAGAGACCATCTGAAGAATAGATTTGCTGAACTGAATACCAGTGACTGAAGACCAGACGAGTTGTGGGATGACTTCACTAAAATCATACATGAAGAAAGCAAATGATCATTAAAAGTACAGGAAATTAGCTTCTTAGAGACAACCAAACACCTTGAGAGAGAATCACTGGGCCTGTGGGCTTGGAGCTATTCAAAAAAAAAAAAAAAAAAAGGAAGAGAAGACAAAAATACATTTCAGAAGATGCTGAAACTTGTTCTTGAATGGAGAGCAACTAAAGCAAATGGAAGAAAAGACAAAATAAAAGGCTGAATAGAAAATTTCAGAAGGCAGCTTGAGACGAGTGAATAAAATGTGACAATGAAATGTGCAAAGACCTGGAGTTAGAAAACCAAAAGGGAAGAACATTCTCAGCATTTCTGAAGTAGAAATACTGAAGAAAAAAATTCAAGCCTCGAGTTACAATATTGAAGGTTTCTATGGGCAAAACATTGAATGATGCAGGAAGCATGAAAAGAAGATAGAAGGAATACACAGAGTCATTGTACCAAAAAGAATTGTTAATTTCAACTATTTCAGGATCAAGAACAAATGGTGTTGAAGGAGGAAGTCTAAACTACACTGAAGGAATTGGCAAAAAAAACAAGGCTCCAGGAATTGATGGAATACCTATTAAGATGTGTCAACAAGCACATGCAATCCTGGAGGCACATACACGTGTATGCCAAGAAATTTGGAAGACAGATACTTCGCTCTCTGACAGGAAGAGATCAATATTTGTGCCCATTCCAAAGAAATTCTGTGATCACATTCTGTGATCTAACATAATGTGGGAATTATTGAACAATATTGTTAATATTACACACAAATAAAATCTTGTTGAAGATAATTAAACAGTTACAGCAGTATATTTACAGGGAACTGCCAGAAATTCAAGCAGGATTCAAAAGAGGACATGGAACAAGGGATAACAGTGCTGATTTCAGATAAATTTTGGCTGAAAGCAAAGAATACCAGAAAGATATTTCTCTGTGTTTTATTGACTATGCAAAGGTATTAAACTGTGTGGATCGTTACAAATTACGGATAAAATTACAAAGAATGGGAATTTCAGAACATTTAATTGTGCTCATGAGGAACCTGTACCTAGACCAAAAGGCTATCATTCAAACAGAACAAGGGGGCATTGCATGGTTTAAAATCAGGAAAAGGTGTACCCGGTGTTGTATCCTTTCACCTTACTTATTCAGTCTGTATGCTGAGCAAATAATCCGAGTAGCCAGACTATATGAAGAAGAACACGGCATCAGAATTGGAGGATAATATGCAATATGCAGATGATACAACCTTGCTTGCTGAAACTGAAGATGACTTGAAGCACTTGCTGATGAAAATCAAGTAAGACAGTCTGCAGTATGGATTACACCTCAACATAAAAGAAAACGAAAATCTGTACAACTGGACCAATAAGCAGCATCGTGATAAATGTAGAAAAGATTGAAGTTGTCGGGGATTTCATTTTACTTGGATCCAGAGTCAACACCTGTGGAAGCAGTAGTCAGGAAATCAGATGTCATATTGCCTTTGGAAAATCTACTGCAAAAAACCTCTTTAAAGTGTTAAGAAGGTAAGTTGTCACTTTGAAGACTAAGGTGCATCCGACCCAAGCCATGGTATTTTCAATTGTCTCATATGCATATGAAAGCTGGACAATGAATAAGGAAGAAAAAAATAATTGATGCCTTTGAATTGTGTTGTTGACGAATATTGAAAATACTAGGGACTGCCAAAATTATGAATAAATCTGTCCTGGAAGAAATGCAACCTGAATTCTCCTGGGAAGTGAGAATGGCCAGACTTCATCTCACCTGCTTTGATCGTGCCAGAAGGGACTGTTGCCTGGAAAAGTATATCCTGCTTGTAAAGCAGAGGGTCAGCAAAAAAAGGGAAAGACTCTCAGCAAAACGGATAGACACAGTGGCTGCAGTGGTGATCTGAAATACAGCAAAGATTATGAGAAAGGCACAGGACTGGGGAGTGTTCTGTTGTGCCTGTGGTCACTATGAATTGGAGCTAAAGCGATGGCACCTAACAGCAACAACACTATTAACTAAGTACAATTTAATAACACTAATTATCAACTTCTGAGTTAGAGTCTCTGAAAACAAATGTTAGGGAGAAGATCACAAAGAATTATCAAAACAAAGTATTCGATATTAAATAATCAGTATGAAAAATAAACACATTGAAAGAAAATAAGTTACAAAATGCTAAATTTGTGTACTGTTATGGGGAGGAAAGATGTAATGCCAGCTTTAACTTTATGTAAAGAAATAAGATCTCTGCTTTTCTATGCTGATTTGTGTTCATTATTCAAAGGTGGTGTTGTCCATTTATGAGCTAAAAAAGAATAAAAACATTTCTTTTGGTATCGCACTCTCATTTTTCATGTTTCTTGGAGAATAGTTACTGGCTGCAAAAAATTGATTTTGTTGCTGAAACTTTTGAGCACTTAATCGTCTGTCTTGAGGGATCCTAGTTTGTAGCTCAGATATGGTCTCTCATAAGCCCTTGTGACACACTGCTCTAGAGTTAGCTTATCTTTAGGCTGAACTGGCAAAATAGGTCTTTGAAGGGAGAACCTCAGAAAAGACTTTCTAAGGTCTCTTCTATTTTGGGAGTCCAAATGATAGGATACACTTTAGACACTGCCCTACATCAAGGCTTACCATTCAGTGCATTTCATTGTTTAACAGTTTATTTTAAACTAAATTATTATACCAGCTATACTGAGGTATAGTTTTGCTTGTTTGTGTTTAATTGTTTTTCCTAGAGGTGACATTTTCATCTCACCTGTTTCACAGAATCCCATACCCCGTGTGGTAGTTCAGTTGGTGTGTCAACTTGGCTGGGCCTGGTTGAGTAGCTGGGCAGCTGGTTATAGTATTCCCCATGAAGAGACTGGTAATGAACTCCATGGTGGAATCTACTGTGAGCAGTAGATTCCTTAGGGAATGTGGTCTACTTCCTGTATATAAGCAGGAGCTTTGGGGAATGGTCTCTAGCATATGGCAAGCTTGGACCCTGCATGTAGCTGTGTCGTTCTTCAGCAGCCTGCCATGCTCTGCCAATCCTGGGACTTACAATGGACTTGAGTTAATGGCTTGCCATGTGGTTTGGTAGCATCACGACTGTGCCTTTTTACTTGTCAACCTTGGGCTTGGCAGCCTCAGCAGCCAGCAGCTGTCTGAGTAAAGACAAGCCTCTACCTTCAGTGGGCTGGGAGCTGGAGGCAGAGCTGAAGCCCAAGGCTGAAGGGCATTCACCCAGCCCCTAGAGCCTGGCACTTTGAATGCAAACTTAAACCCTCCAAATTGTAAGAATAAATTCTTGTTTGTTAAAGCCATCCCTTTTGTGGTATATTCTTGTCAGAGCGGCACTAGGTACCAGAACACCCTGTAAGTATTCTACAGAAGTAAAGTTTTGCTCCCTCTTACTGATTAGTTTTATTGGTTAGGGCAGTGATACCTGTTTGAGTAGTAGTTATATAAATGTTACATGTTTATGATGCTTTGGGATATGGACATTAATATCTATAATACTTAAGTATTATAGATACTCTTTTTTAAATTTTACTTTTCAGCCAATTTTTAGTCTTATTATATTTTAGCAAAATTTTGTTTTGTTTTTCAGATAGATTTATTTTTAAAGTTGGAAGAATAAGTTTTTGTAAGTGATTTTCCATTTTTCTTAGATGTTTCACGGAACAATTATGAAAGAGCTAACCATCCATGAAGAATGGAGTCACTACAATGAGAGCATGGTAGAAGATCAAAAAGACTTTGTTTTCGTGAAGTTCAATGGCCTTCATTTAAAATCTATGGAAAATTTACAATCCTGTATCTCTCTCAGAGTATGCATCTTCTCAAACAATTTCATTACAGATATACAGCCACTTGAAAATTGTTTAAAATTAATCAAACTTGATCTCCATGGAAATCAGGTAAGCAACACATCATTTCAGATATTTGCGCATAAATAAAATTTATAGTAAGCATTTATATTATCTTTCTATAATAGTTCTCCCAGAAAATCTATCTAAAATATAAACAAAAAATTAAAAAAAAAATATAAAGTGTATAAAAACACAAAATTGGCAATGTAAGCAAAATTAAAATGTATAAACAGAGTTATTTGGTATATTTTATACATTCAGATGCTTGGTCTAGATTAAGATTGCTTTTGATTCCTTAATTCTTTATGTAATAAAACTATTTTAGAAAAATTTAAAGAGTCGCCTTACTACAAAGGAGATTTTACTGAATGGAAGTACATATACTTATAACTACTCCAGTAATGATTATTCCAAATGCCCAGTGTGTCATATTTTGCCACCAGTTATCATTTGAATAACTGGAAATTCCCTGTGTTTGTTTATTAATTGAAAATTTGCTATTTGAGAAAATGTGAATTTTAGATATAAATGTCTATGCCCCATGCAGGTTATAGGAAACTAATATTTCAATGTGATGTATTTTTATTAATATTATTTCAGATAAAGAATCTACCAGGAACCAAATTTTGGATTGGATTGAAGAACCTAAAACTCCTCTATCTCCATAACAATGGGTTTGTGAAGTTAAAGAATATATGTGTATTATCTGCCTGTTCTAACCTCATTGCCCTCACTATGTTCGATTGTCCAGTAAGCCTTAAAAAAGGATACAGACATGTTCTTGTTAATAGTATATGGTCTCTTAAAGCACTGGATCATCATGTGATTTCTGATGAAGAAATAATTCAGAACTGGCATCTTCCTGAAAGATTCAGAACATGTAATGACCGACTTTCCTTTAATTTCTGCCCTTCTTTGAGAAAGGTATTTGACTTTCTTAGCATTTCATTTTACATAAATTTATAGATGTAAGATTTTAGCTTTTAAGTTTCATACCTAAATTATTTAAGCTGATTAATATTTCTGTATTATTCATATAAAATGCCATAATGCAGTCAACATATTAGTATTAGCCTGGTATCAGAACATTTTAAAAAGCTTATGTATCTACTGCATAAAAAATTTAAAAAAATATTTAGCCTAAAAGTGTCAAATTATAGAGGAGCTATATATATTTTAGGAGCTCTGGTGGCATAGTGCCTAAGTCATTTGACTGCTAACCAGAAGGTTGATGGCTTAAACCGACCTGCCACTTCATGGAAGGAAGATAGGGCAATCTACTCCAATAAAGATTTACTGCCTTGGAAACCCAGTGAGTGTTGTTGCTATGAGTTGGAATCAACTCAGTGCTAGTGAGTTTGGTTTTTAGTATAAATATATTTAATTGAAAGTGGTATCTCTAACATACAGGTTTCTGATATTTGGGTGATTCCATTGGGAAAGATTTGATTTTTTAAAAAATACCTTAATAGACAATTTGGATTATTATTGGAAGAGAATAAAAATATTCAAATCCTAAACAATTAGATGATATACTGGCATGATCAAACCATAATTATATGTTGACTTTTCAAATCTTGTAAAAAGTGATTAGAAAACTTGATATCCAGTTGTAGGTTATAGAATACTTGTTGTTGTTGTTGTTATATACCGTCGAGTCAGACCCGACTCATAGTGACCCTTCCTTGGGTTTCTGAGGCAGTATCACTATGGAAGTAGGATTGCCCAGCCTTCCTTCCGAGGAGTGGCTGGTGGGTTTGAACCGCCAGCCTTCTGGTTAGCAGTCAAGTGCTTTAGCCACTATGCTACCAGAGCTCCTATAGAATACTTAAATGATAGGTAAAAACATAAGAAAACATGCTTCATGATAAATGAATAGTTGTCAGATGAATAAAAATAAGAGTTAAAGATGTAAAACATTAGGTGTTAAACACAAAAAAATATGCCTTATGCAACAATGTTTATAATATGTTCAGTATATATACATATAAATTCATATGTATATATAGAACATTTGAGGATGAATAGAAAGTCATTTTGAGTACTGAACACATCTCAAAAGGTAAACAATGAACAATGATTATTCTCTAGTACGAGAAAGCTGCAGATTAGGAAGTTGGGAGATTTCTCTATAAGAAAAAAACAAGAATAAATTAATGATTTTTATAATAATAGGAAGAAACAAAAAAAAAGAATACTTAAAAAAATAAAAGGTCATCGTATTTAAGTCTGAGTGTTTTATCCTGGCCCCTAAAGGAAGAATTTCATTTAGGTATTAGAGATATATGGTATTGTGCAATCAAAGGTAACAATATATATAACCTTTTTAAAGACAGAAGAATGATGTTCATGTAAGCAAATAATAGGCTATTAGGGGATGAGTATTAAGAAGGAACTTGGATTACTGAGGAATTTAGACATCTTTCTGAATGTAACGAAGATTTATTGAAGTTATTTGAGTAGAAATACTAGAATGATTTTCTGTTAATAGGTGCACTATGAATAAAGGATATTGGCAAAGTTCTTTCAAAAAAGAAGATTAATCCAGTTTTTAGCTAGTAGGTTTTTGGAGGGGGAGCAGTTAAGACCAATGAAGATAGGTGAGAAATGATGTGATTAGGGTTTATATAGGCAGATAGACTGCTAACCAGAAGGCTGGCGGTTCAACAGCCACTCCTCGGAAGGAAGGTTGGACAATCTACTTCTGTAGTGATACTGCCTCGGAAACCCAAGGAGGGGTCGCTATGAGTCAGGGCCGACTCCACGGCACATAACAACAACAACATAGGCAGATAGAAGTGCCAGTGAAGAAAGAAGACAGTGCAAAATAGTTGATGGGCAGTAAAGGCCAGTGTAGTAGGCACTTTAATTATTTAATTCATTCATGTATTCACCAAATACATATTGAGTAGCTAATGGGCCTTAGGGAGCTCTGGTAGCATAGTGGCTGAGACACTTGCCTGCTAACCAGATGGCTGGCGGTTCAAACCTACCAGCCACTCCTCGGAAGGAAGGTTGGGCAATCCTACTTCCGTAGTGATACTGCCTCGGAAACCCAAGGAGGGGTCGCTATGAGTCGGGGCCGACTCCATGGCACATAATAACAACAACAACAACAACAACAAATGGGCCTTAAGGATTGAGTGGTTAAGCAATATTGACAAAATTTTTGCTTTTATGAAGTCTAGTGGGAAAAGGTACATAACTGAAAAAACAATGAAACAAAATCATAATATTTTATATAGTGTTTATTCCTAAAGAAAAGAAAATAAGGCAATAATATAGATTGAAAGGAGTAGATACTTAGGTTACTTTAGTTAAGACCTTTCTGAAAAATATACTGTATTTACTCTTTATGATATCCTTTAATGTGGAAGGTGCTATTATGTCACAGATAAAAATGAAGCTTAGTGAGGTTTAAGAACTTATACAGTATCTGACAAATTCAACTAGTTTCTTGGTTTCAAAGTCCTACAGTCAACACTGCGTAAATAATAGTGCAAAAATTTTATAGGAGCTATTAAACAACTAACTAAATGTGGGTGGAGAAGAATATAAGAGGAAAGTCCCCTCTTAATAATTTGAACCTGGGTTAAAAAAAATAATTAATGGAAATGGCGATGTTTAAAAGGTTTTTGTGGAAAGTTGAGTTTGGTCATGTTTATATGCGGTAGTTTATTGACTAAGAGATATCAACAAGGCAGATAGTGAATTGTTATTCAGATATAGTGTTCTGGTCTTGAGATGTAAATCTGGTAGTCATTTTCTTGAAGTCATAGTTGAAGCTAAGCTCTCTCAGAAAAATATAGGGATCAAAAAGAACTAAAAGATAAAAATAGAGCCATTGGACACAGTCTCGTTTTGTCGGTAGAGAACAGTGTAACCAAGGAGGACAACAGAGAATTCATCCCAGGAAGAACATGGCTATTATCACTTAGGTTAAGGGAAATGAGAGATTAAAAAATGAACAATGTTTTTAAAGAGTCAAGGAAAATTTGCACGGAAAAAAATAACTTAGAAAGGCTTTTATGATGAAAAATGTTACTATGTCTTTGGAGTTTTAATAGCTTGCAGGGGGTAGGCAATAAATAAGGATAGATATTTACTTAATAATGCTTGAAATATATCTTTTAGAGCATTTCATCACACTTATTATTAATGAGTTATAAATATATTAAGAAAACTGAAAATAATAATGAACTTCGTAATTGTCCATGCCATTTTAAAAGTAAGTGTTGTAAATTTTTTTATCAGGAGGGCATATGTGGAAATTAAAGGAACATATGCTCATTTTTAAAGAGATAAATTTAGTATTGTAATTTAAACTTGGGCCCCATAGCATGACAAAAATATCCTGACAGAGTTTTTTTATCTTTAGTTTTGACATAGAATTATTTCTGGGCTTCGAGAGCAAAATTGGAGGTTTCTTGAGGGAGGATTCAGCCTCCAGACCATAAATAGATATCTTGCCATGGTAACTCCATGTGTTGTAGTGTAGAACTGCTTTGTATGATTTTCTTGGCTGTAATATTTATGGAAGGAGATCGGAGATGTCTAGGCCTGCCTTCTACAACACTACTAGGGGTTCAAACCATCAATCTTTAGGTTAGTAGTCAAGCACTAGCCATTTACACCATCCAGGGTTACATGTATCTGTGAGCACATTTGCTTCTTAAACAGAGTACATTTAATTTTTAAAATTAGTATCTGTTATTAAGGAAGAAGATATTTGTGCCTATCACAGTAGTAATGAGACATTCTTCCTTCTCCTGGGTGGTAAGAGAAGAGGCCTCATAGAAATCAAAACTTTTACCATTGCCCAGTTGTTTTGAAGCCACCCCCAAAGTAATGTCAATGAAATCTATGGAGAGATAAAACTCCTAACCCTACCAAGCAGTAACAAGGAGCACTTCTTCCATTGGGGACCAATGGAGGGAAAGTGGGGAACCTGGGCTTTTACTTCTACCTGGCAGTAACAAGATGATGACCCATTTCATCTGATGGAGCATTGTCAAGGAACATCAACTGAAACAGAAGGTTTACATAACATCACAGTCTTGTAACAATATGGAAATACTTAGATTTCAATTAAAAAAATTACTCATCATATTAAGAACTAGGAAGACTTCAAACTAAGTGATAAAAGGCAACAGATGGATGACAAAAATGTCCTAATTAGATAATAAAGATTTTAAAGCAGCCATAAGGAGCTCTGGTGGCATAGTGCCTAAAGCATTTGACTGCTAACAAGAAGGCTGGTGGTTCAAATCCACCAGCCACTCCTTGGAAGGAAGACTGGACAATCTACTTCTGTAGAGATACTGCCTTGGAAATCAAAGGAGGGGTCACAGTGAGTCAGAATCAACTTGATGGCAGTGAGTTTTTTTTTTTTTTTTT